GTGGCAGCCTTGGGGTCCTGGGAGGGGTGGCCCCCGGGAAGAGCTTCCCTGCGCGACCTGGGAGCTCCGAGGGGCTACTGCAGGGCCTGGAGTCCAGAGAGGGCGAGCCCTCGCTCTGCAGGCGACCGCGCCGCGGGAGAGGCGAGGGCATGGCCTCTTCAGAGGGGTCCAGAGGCGCTCAGGGGCGTGGGAAGGAAGGAACCCTCTCCCGTGGGCTCGTGAGCACGACGGCCTGCCTGCACCTCTGCTCCACCCCAGGGCTTTTCTCCTTTCATTTCCCCGCTGAGCCGCATCTGTGCCCGCGCCCGGCAAGGGTTTCTATCCCAGGGGGAAACAATCTCAAGGAAGCACAGTATCTCCAGGTGACAGCCTTTCCCTTCAACACTTACAGTGAATTCTTATAACAAGCTCTCAGATAGACAGCACTGAGCCGCCCCAGCGTTCACCCCCTTTTACACTCATTCGCTGAACATTATCAGTAATCAGGCCGAAAAGGCCACAATGAAATTATTTCACACTTTGCAGGCTATAATGATTGTCAGTGTTAGTCTCCAGCTGCATTAAATCACTTCCAGCAGTTATTGGCAGAAAGCACTGAAATATTAACAGCTGACACTTGTTTATCTGATTACAGGGATAATTGGGTGCAACCTTCATATATGGGTTAAAAAATGTAACCTTAAAGTAATGGGTCCAACTAGAATCACTGATACAGGTGAAAACACACACCTCCGAAGTTCATCACGGGAAAGGAAAATTCCCTGACACTCCAGATTCAGCTTAGCAGAGAAATTTAGCAAGACTTCTTAGCAACATATTGACTTCCTAACAATCCTTCTGTTCCATGGCAGTTCAGCCCACCCAGTAAGCTCGCTTGCAAGAGAGATTCTAGACTCCGCGGCAAATGAGTTGCAGAAGTTTTGAAACAGCTGTTGGGGGAGGAAAAAAAGAACAAAAATGATTCAGAGCCACGATCAGAGCTTCAAGTAATAACAAATATGAGAGAATCCTGGGAAAGGAAAAAAATCTGAAGAAATAAAATTGACACAGAATCACTAGGTGCCTGTATATAATGTGGCAAACCAGGATGTTGAAATTAAATTCAGGGTCTTGCTGTCCAGCTGTAAATTTTTCCTTCTAATTGTTATAATAAAAAAACTAATTTTCATTCCATATTTTTGGAAAAAAGACCAACAATATTACCCTGTTCATTAAAAATCACAGCATGATGTTAGGATCGACATTAAAAAAATAAAATGGTAAGTTTTATCCTGAATTATTGTACTTAGAGCATATAGGTGATATGTAACCACATTTTTATGATGATAGGTCTATGCTTCTGAAATATATTGGTTCTGAAAAGATATATTAATACACAAGCCCTTTTGAATTCTGTTGAGCCCTAGGATAGGACTTCTGTTCTATACTACCTGTCTGCCTTAGTATGTGATATTGTGTGTAATATTTAACCTGTTTAAGCTGCAATCTTTTCACTTAAAAAATGAGGATAATCATTATTGAAGTAAAATTTACTATCTTGGAATAAAAGTTGGGGAGCCCTATCCAGATTAATAATAGCACAAATCTAAAACATGTAAACTATGAAGTATTTTAGTAGAAATGCAGTTATATGTTGTATCAAATCCGTAATATAAAAGGATGACAGTGAATAGCATAAAATAAGAAAGCAATAAAATTCTGTTTTGCCATAAGTGTATATTACAAAATTTATTCAATAGTCATCACATTGTTGGGATTGTAATTTAGGGTCCTGATCCTGTTCTGTGGTATTAGGAGGCTTAGGAGTCTTATTAGCCAAATAAGAGCAAAAGAGTACCTTAACCTCCTTGGTATTACACATAAGGCAAAATGATGGATTATCATATAATTTATTTTTAAGATAATAATTCATTTTTCAAAGTTTGACTTTATTACATACATAAAATATTAATGAAAATGTGATACTCTGTACATTCACACATCCCAACTTCATTAGAACAGTCATCTCATCTGACCAGCTTATTTCACTTAGCATAATACTCTCCAGGTCCCTCCATGCTGTCACAAAAGGTAACATTTCCTTCTTTTTTACAGCTGCGTAGTATTCTATGGGGTAAATGTCCCACAGCTTTTTATCCACTCATCTGCTGATGGGCACTTGGGCTGCTTCCAAATCTTGGCTATTGTAAATAATGATGCAACAAACATAGGGGTGCATATATGCTTTTGAATTCATATTTTGGGTTTCTTTGGATATATTCCCAGAAGTGGAATTGCTGTGTCATTCAATTAAAAACAAAAAAGAAAAAGAAAAAAAAGAAACTAGATAACAAAAAGAATCACCTGCCTATCCACACGTGATCATTTAACTGAATATCCACTTTAAAACAGCCTCTGGGGCCAAGTGGCCCGAATTTCTTACTGTCTCTNAAACTAGATAACAAAAAGAATCACCTGCCTATCCACACGTGATCATTTAATTGAATATCCACTTTAAAACAGCCTCTGGGGCCAAGTGGCCCGAGTTTCTTACTGTCTCTCAGTTTCCTCATCTGCTAAATGAGGAAAATATGCCTACCTCAGGATTGTTGTCAGGATTAACAGAATTCCAAATACTTAGGTCAGGGCCTGATAAGCAACCTACAAATGCTATTATTTATGAAACTCATAAAAACAACAACAATGTACATGGGTTTAAACCAATAAGAAGCAAAGTTGTTAGAAAGCATTGGTTTAAAGTGTACTCTACCAGGGCTGAGGCAATGCACTTTATTATAAGCTAAACCAATCCTGAGTATTTTCTTCGTGCACTTCAATTTTATTTGAGGTTAAAGATTTAAGAGCATTTTGCCGTATTGTTACATGCTAAAAATGCAGAGGGTTAACAGTCACCTTATCAAATGTAATAACCCTGTCACCCCTAAAGAACGGCCAAGAATAAAATCTGTTGGTAACAGGGCAGGCAGTGTAGCCGGGAACTGCAGACGGAACAGGCGGGAAAGGCTGTGCGCCCACCGAGGCGCGAAGGGCTCTCCGGAGCTCGGGCAGGCTGTGCGCTCCTGTCCGCGCTGTCGTCGGCGGCACCGGGCAAACGGCAGCACGTCGGTCACGGGGCGCGACGACGGGTATGGGAATGGGTAGCGCAGGGAAGTGATTGCACCCCGATTCGGCGCGCTGACTGCGGCGGGGGATCCCTCCGCGCTCGCGGTCGACGTCAAGGGCGTTAGCGCTGCGGGCCAGGCCCCGCGCCGGCGGCGTCGGGAGGAGCCTTCCCCGCCCGCGTCC